CTTTCATTTCTGTTAGGTTAGCTCTGTGGAAACAACCACATAAAGCGTAAGACAAAATAAGGCTGATATGAGAAAGGACATGAGAGTCTCCCTTCACTTTTCAATAGAGTCTCTGAAAAGTGATCTATTCAGTTTTATCAGTCCACAAATATTTAGAAGATTATTTGTCACAGTGAGTGCTTAGTATGTGGAAAAATTTTCTATTTATAATCTCATCTTTGTCATTGGAAAAGCTAGAGTTAGTTCTAGGACAAGATGATGGTGTTGATGGAGATGGTGAGAGGTTGAGGATAGGAATTGAGTTCAGAAAACCATGTAGGCTGGAGTTGAGAAGACTGTAGGAGTATATATTTATTTTCAAATCTGGAGAACCTTGAACATACCATGGAAAACAAATAGGTTTGTCTTGGAGAGGGTGAAACCAAGTTTCTCCTTAGAGGTTAGGATTTTGAAGCTCTGTCACACATACTTTGGGCACATGACCAGGAGAGACTGGTCCTTGGAGAAGGACATCATGCTTGGAAGAGTGAAAGGACAGCGCAGGAGAGGAAGACTCCAGATGAGATGGATTGACAGAGTAACTGGGGCACTGAGTGTTGGTGTATTGGAATTAGTGAGACTGGCTCAGGACAGGGCAGGGTTCAGGGCTGCTGAACGTAGGGTTACTATGGGTCACAAGTGACTTGACAACACATACCCATAACAACAGAGAACATCATGATGAGGAAGAAATATGAGGTTCATTTGAAGAATTTTAGAATTAGGAAAAAAGTCTAATGATGTAAAGTGACTGAATCTCAGATTTGGATGTTTCTGGAAACACTTGCAAAAATGGGTCCAATTAGTCACTTTAGAATTAAAATGACTCAGAAATGACTTAAATTTCCTTAAGAAAGATGGGGAATTCACACATATTAAGCACTTCTAGCATGACCTCATCTGCAAGGGATACTCTGAAGAGGATTCCACCCCTGCCCAATGTGGGAGCTGAACCAGAAGTGCTCCCTTCTTAGTTGAAGAGCCTGTTGCTATTATGTGACACTGAGTCTTCTTTGACTTATAATGACCCTGTGTACAGCACATGAAATCCCTGTGATTCTGCCTACCTGCCCAATGACCCGGATGCATTAATCTCTCAGCTGCCTCTCTTTTGAGGTCTAGCCCACATAGCTGGACCTCCCAGCCTCCGTGAGCACTCGAGCCATTTCCTTGAAATAATATATATTCATTCTCATATTCTCTCTCTCTCTCTCTGTGTGTGTGTGTGTGTGTGTGTGTGTGTGTCTCCAGCTGCAAATAATGTGCTATCCTAAAAGTCTAACCACTTCAGTGCTTCAAATCCACCAGCTCCTCAGAATAAAGATGGGAAATCCCCTCCAATGAGAGATGTATAGCTTCATTATTATAGATATATACAGAGACAGTGTGCATTGGAACCAAAGGTGATAAAGCTCCTCTCACAAACTTCAGGCATGTTGCTAAGAGAAGCTATTCTTTGGGAACAGATATCATTCTTGGAAAGGTGGAGGGATGGCAAAGGAGAAGAAGACCTTCACCCGGGTGGGTTGACACAGTGACACTACAATGGGCTTGAATGTGTTGAAGATGATGAGGATGGCAAAGGTTGAGATCTGTTGTTCACAGGACTGCTACGGGTCATACTCTATTCAACAGCACCTACCACCACCACCCGCTGCACACATACACACGTAATATTTCATTGTGTTGGCTTCTCTGAAGAGCATAGCCTAAGACAGTATTATACATCAGTGTCCTAAGTGATGTTAATCCTAGTACCATCTAGAATTTTAGCACCTTTAGTTCCTCCCCAGAGATCTGAAAGAGGCAGATATGTCATTGGCAGCCCCATCCAGACAGACATTTCTAGACCCAATCTTTTCTAATTCTTTCTAAGTGTTTCATACTCTCCCAAATCAGCCCATTCAGGCCCTCTAGCTGCAGCTGAGTGATTTCTACTCCAGCCACTTTAAAGTGGTGGTTAAAAGTAAATTTTAGTCCATCATAACAGTCAGACGGGTGATCATTAAAGTTAATTATTCTGAAAGCAGGATCATTAAAGCTACTAGCACAAGGGTTAACAATTTGGGATCCTCTTTTGAGAACTTCTCCACTTTTTGTTTTTATATTCCCCATGGGTAGCATGCTGAAATGTTGGAGTGACTTCTTAAATTCTAAATCTCTGGTTAATGGGACAGTAGAGCTTGGCTTAACATTTAGAGGACCTGAAGTACAGCACTAAACACCATCTATTCTAAACTAGCGAAAGATTAGAAATAAAAAGAATCCAGATTAGGAATGAAAGAGTAAAGTGATAAGAAAAGAACAGAGGGAAGAATCAGAAACTCATTTACTTGGATTTGAACTTCAGAGGGGAGAAAAGTAGACACTTGGAAACAAGGAAGGAGACAATCCTCTTACAAGGAGCCTGGTATGAAGGGGTCAGCTGAAAAGAAAAATCTCCACCCACATGGCAGGATGGATGAGTCTAAAGATAGCAGCCCTGGACCCAGGCAAATGACAGAAGTCCAAAGGTAAGAAATTACAGGGAACGACAATTGAACTGAGTATCTTTCCTGTGAATGAAGCAGCTGCCATGTGCTGGGTGACACAGGACTGTATGGAGATGGGTATTCGGGTTTCAGTGGGTTTTACTCTTTCAATGGGAAGCTGAATCCATCTTCTCCAGACTGCTCCCCTTAGATTGTGCAAAGGTAAGATGGGTTCAATAATGTATACTGCACTGAAACAGAGGAGGGAGAAAACTGTTTAAAAGAGATATATAACTAGGTATTTCTGTCATCACAGGAGACTAGAGCGAGGGCTACATGGTGGAGGGGACCTGGGGGAGGGTTTGTAAAACAATGAAAGAATCCTTTCTTTTACTTTTCCATAATTTTTGACTCATGTACTTATAACTTGTTAGTCAAATTTGTGTCTTCTAGGTTGCAACACCCCAATGATACATCTTCAAGGATATGAACATGTACGGCCAAGCACAATCAATAAGAATGCATCTAAATTCCAAAATCAATCTCCATAATAGTCTATGTGTTTCCTACTGCCAAAGGGGCCCTTTAGAGTAGTGAGAGAAGATCTTCACCCTGAAACCCACAGCGTCCCTTTTCAGCAGGAAGTAGCTAAGAGAATACGCCATCCCCTTTTCCTTATGAATCAGGGTGAAGTCTCTCTCAGGGAGGAGTGATAGGGAATGGCAAAGGACACACCGACAAAGGAGATTAATCAGAACTGACTTTGACAAGCACTGAGGCAATTGGACAATTAAAACAGACATTTGGATGGCGGGGAAGAAGAACAAACTGGGGAGGAGGGTGGAGAGAATGGTGCAGCAATGAAGGAGTGAAAGCCCAGAATCCCTGTGAATGTTCATTGAAACTAATAAAATTTAATAATAAAAAAAAAAGATTGTGCAAAGGTAAGAACCACCTCTCAGCACAAATAAACTCCTCTCAGCAAGAGCAAACCAGAAATGTCCGTGAAAGTTAATTTGACTTCATCTTTTGAAATGACATGTTTCTGGGAGGGAAAAATAAGGGAGGCTATTTCATCATCAAAACAAACCAGGAAAAAAAAAAAGTTTTTCCAACCCTGAGTGAGACCAAGTTCTGCTGAACAGAAAAAAAAACTTGTTCAGGACGATGAAGAGTTGCTCTTTGCAGGGGTGGAAGGCGACATGCACAGACTGTGGCCAAAAAAGGGGACACAAGTGCTCTCCTATGACCAGGCATGAGTCTAGAGGCTGCAGTCGACGACTCTTCCCTGAAGGTGGGCACATGCCCAATCTTACAGGAGAGAAACATCTGGAATTTTGTGGGGTCTTGTTGAGCTTTGCCAACAGGCTGATTGCTCCCTTTCAAAATGTTCCTCTTCAGACTTAGAAGCAGCTACATGTAAACCAATGTTCACTGCAACACCATTCATTATACTCCAAAGATGGAAACAACCCAACTAGTCTTCACTAATTGAATGAGTAGACAAAGTAGAGAGGATTTCAATATGTGTTACTGTGAGCTCTTAGCGACTTGATTCTGATTCATGGCGGAGCTGCTCATGGTAATGACCCCCTTTGGGCTCAAGAGTAAGACTACTTACTCCCTAACGTTTTAGAGCTGGGTGCTTTCAGAAGGAGATTGGCAAAGCTATCTTCTGCAAAACCACTAGTTGGGTTCAAACTAAAGACCTTTCTTCTAGTAGTTGAGCTTAGAGTGGCACCAGCTAGAGTTCTCAGTGGAGTACCAGCTCTTTGAGAAAGACACCTGAGGTGTCAACAAGCCCTTTAACATGGTGAAACCTTGGACATATGCTGAACGTAGTAGGTTGATTACCAGAGACTCAAGACCGTAAGATCTCACTCCTATGGAGTCCCTAAAATAGGTAAACAGACTGAGATCAGACTTTAATAGCAGTTACGAGGGATGAGAAGAAGGGGAAATAGGGGAATTACTGGTCTAGAAGTAGAGGTGCTGTGACAGGGATGGGAAATTTGGTTAAGGGATATTGATGGTAATAGGACAAGTTATTGATGGAATTAATCTCACTGAATTGTGTTTATGGACAACACTGAGTGGGCAAATGTCTCATCTATATATATTTTTAATACCGCCATTTTATTATCTATAAATATTAGGTACTTTTTACTTATAATAAGCTTAAAATGAAACTTGATGCCAAAACTTGAAGGATTGTTATGCAGAAGAGGGAGACTTCATGGTTGGAAAGGATAAAAAGTAGGTTATAGACAAAAATTTTTGTCTCATCTATATTTTTACAACAACTCTCACCAAAACCAAAACTCATTTTGATAAGGCCGGTGGTTTGAATCCACGAGCCACTTGGAAGGAGACTTAGGGGCCATCTCCCGCAGGTAAAGATTTACAGCCTTGGAGACTCAGTGGAGGGGTAACGGAGTGGATGACAGTGGACTTTGGGGATCAATTGTGACAAACACCATTGTGACTTACCTTTTTCGAGGGCATGATCCCAAACAAGGGGAACATTAAGGCCGGCAGCAAAGCAGTGACCGACAGAGGCAGAGCTTCCGTGAGCCAAAGTATGCCAATAACGAAGAGTGTGTACGCACATTGGGCTTCCTGGAAAGGAGAAGGCAGAACGCGGTGAGATATGGAGGCTGGGACAGCACCTTGCAAAGCATAACCACTTTGACCGCATGAAGCCCTGACACAGACTAGATAAGGCATCCTGGCGACCTCTGCACCTTCTAGTGGAACAGAAAGAAATCCTTTCCCACAGGTCCTACCAGCCAAGTTGCGACATGAAAACCAGGAAAGAAAATGCCCAGTCACTAAGCCCCATTCAAATTTCCTCTAAGCAGATAACCATGAATAGTCAATTGTGTTGATCTCAATACACAGAGATGTTTGTGCTCACTTTCATTTGGCCTGTAGACGTGCTCCCAGCTTCCTCAGCGGCAGGGCACACACCTGCCTTGGGTGCTGGGGTGGGTGGGGCGTGGGTGTGGCCACTGCCCACCTGCCTTCTCCTTCTAGCCAACCTGCAAGCAATCAACCAAGGGGGCAAACTTGGTGCAGCACTTTGTCTCTTAGAAAGGGTAGTGCCAAGTTGCATGGCATGGATGCACAAGGCCCCTCCGTGACAGTCCTGTTCAAGAGCCTCTGCCTGGCTTTCCTAGAGACACAGCTGAGGCCCTGGGTTATCCAGGGAGATGCAACAGGAGTGAGACTGTCAGTAGAATGAATTGTTTTCTGTGTATAAAACTGTTGGTGTCTGTCTTAGGGCACTGTTTATTCACGGTTTTTTATATATTTATATAAATATATATACA